AAGGTCACAGAACGGGTGTTCTTTATGGTCCATAAAGCAGTACACTGGGTGTTATAAATGCTAATGCTACACACACACACACACACACACACAAACACACATACACACACACGGGATTCAAATAATTTAACAAGCGGTTCTCTGCCCTAATGATTTCTTCCAACAACCAGTTCACCAAACTGCTCAGAAAGTTAACAACTGGTTCTCCCGAAGTGGTGCGAATCCCACCACGGCACACCTACACCCACATCCAATGGGGACACAATAACAACATGTTGTGTGCTTGGCACCTGGTTGTCTTTATAATCACTTATAGCGTGTCACACAACAACAATTCGTGATATTTTTACTAGTTTTGGGCACAAAATGCCATTCCAATGAACGAATTTGCTTAATGACTGCAACGTTTGCTTAACGGCTACAGTGAAAGATTTTAGGAAAGCACTTCTGGCTACGCTGGCTGAGGAATTCTGGGAATTGAAGTCCACATATCTTAAAGTTGCCGGGGTTGAGAAACGCTGATCTATATTCAAGTTAGTTTCTTGCATATCCATTTTCTCCCTTTTTTAAAATGCAGAATTAAAGGAGCTCATGTGCAGGAATGAGCCATTACAAATTAATCAGTAGATATAATTTTTATATTACTTTGGATATTATCACTAACGTGACATTTTTCGGCAGAGTAAATTTAATGCTTCCTGGAGCATCATCAACTAAAGAAAATAGCACTGTGAGATTTCCACAATGCCAAAAGGATGCATAATATCTAAATCTGAAATAAGCGGGGGAGGTAAAAGTAGCACATTTAAATACCTCTTTAAAAAAGCAATTTAAAAAAAAATTCTACATCAGGCTTTAAATGTAGGCTGATTGCAAATTTAAGTATTTTCTTTTGCCTATCCATTTGACTCTTGATTGCTGGCAATGTGATGTCTCGGAGCATGAATGTGTTTGCAGTCACACACAATTGACTTGGTGAGAACCCTGCTAATCCAGACTATTTTTAACAGATTCACAGAGTTGGAAGGGACCTTGTAGGTCATCTAGTCCAACCACCTGCCCAAGCAGGAGACCCTACACATTTCTGGCAGATGGCAGTCCAGTCTCTTCTTGAAAGCTTCCAGTGATGAAGCTCCCACAACTTCAGAAGGCAACTTCTGTCCCATTGGTTGATTGTTCTCACTGTCAGAAAATTTCTCCTCATTTCTAGGTTGAATCTCTTCTTGTTTGGTTTCCATCCATTATTCCTT